TAGGTAATCTGATGGAGGTAGTCTCAATTGAAGTTAACTGTAGTATATAAATATTAGCGTAAGTATGAATTGGGGTAATATGCTTCAGGTAATCATAATTGAAGAGGTACCTCAGGTATATAAAAGTTGTATAGGTTTAGGTAATTTGATGTAGGTCTCAATTGTAGTTACCTGTGGTATATAAATATACTGGTATATTTATATACTGGTATATAATAAGATACTGTGTTATCGAAACAGGACGTGATATACTTCTCAAAAAAAGTTTGTGGAGATCAAATCGTAAGGTGTAGATTATGAAATTAGTTTTATGAAGATGGCTGTTTAAATATTTTCAAAGACATTTTAAATTTGCATTTTCTCATTATAAATAGTCAATGTTTCTTGGGAAAGTTAAAATAAAGTTTCGAGTTGAAACAATACATTGGTGATTCAACGTTGCACCACTGATGAGTTCTTGGTAGGTCGAAACGTCGCTGTGTGGTTTTCGATAACAAATGCTCTATTTTGGACTTTACCTCGTTTGAAACCCATATTTTAACAAAACATGGTAAAGATGTTGCACTCATCTTTTTTTGGTTACTGTTTCTAATGTCTGCGAACATGATGAAAAAATATATTGCTAGAATTTGAGGCAAAATGAAACACCCAGTGTATACGTTACCGCATTTAATTATTATCTGTTCAGTTCATACAAATACAAATATTCGTATAAGTTGCAATGAAGAGAAAGCATTGGCAGTGTACGAATCACAGGTCACTGAATAATATATTTCGTCTATTACTTGTATGTTTTGCTCAATAGACCGAAATATGCGATTAGACGAAATCCTACAATAAGGGCCAGAAGTGATATTATATCAATTGGTAGAGCTTCCTGAAAAAAACAATAAAAATTGAATTAAAGGAAATGAAAAAAGCCGATAGCCTTTACTCACTTCATGAAAATTATAAATTTGTAAAACCATATGTCCATCCCGCGGACAGGTAGAATTCCCATTTGGACAATCTATTTCAGTTATATTCTCCCATTGGTTGATCATTAGTGCTTCATTGCCGTATTTGAACCAAGAAAGGTATGAAACCCATTTGAAATAAATGGGAATCGATCTAAAATCAATAAATAATAATCAATATTCATTATTTCGATCCTAGTACCTACACAAAGCTGGTGTGGTTTTTGAATATTCGGTACATAGAAAAAAAAATTGAAAGGCAAAAATCTTCAGAGGGAAACAGCAACGGTATTATTTTTTAGGAAGAGAAAGCTTTGTGGCCTTCTATTCTCCATTATTAAACAAAAATGTGAACCTAAAAGAAAAAAAAACCATTCCGAAATAACTACTTTCATTGAATTACACGAAAAATATTTTATTCACTTGTACCATAAACATTCGGTATAGAATTGACACTTATGATATGCAGAGATACGCTACACAATGTGATATATGACAGAGTATTGATATATAATATTACTCAACATCAATGGTGTTCTTTGGAGTTTTGGGATAAGACACTCTTCTTATCACCTCATCAGCATCGTTTTGGATAACATAACAAAGCTCTTTTCTCCAAAAAACTAATCAGTCTTGAAAATATTACATTTTCAGTTTCAATAATCTTATATGATTCACTATCTTCGAGAGAGTAGGTATATTAATTAATATGTATATAAGGAAGTAATTTCTTGTATACTGAAAAGTAACACTAATGGAATCGAAGTGATATGTAATGTCTACTTCAAAAAGTAATTTGGAATATGCTTGTTCTAGATGATAAATAAGAAGTGAAAGGAGTGCAATTTATTTTATGATAAAACTAGGAAAAATAGACCATAAATATGAAATGAAAAATTATAAATTTTAGAAATCATTCGATATAGGGATCAAACAATGAGTGAAATGTAAATAGTATATGAATTATTGGAATAAAAAAGATTAAAAAAAATTGAAACCAAACTTCAGAATGTTAGTACTTGTAATCGTTTTCGGGTGCTAAGAAGCTTATTCCTGATACTTTGAGACTGTTTTAGGTTAGAGTCGTAAAAAACCATAGAACGTTTTATTTTTTATAGGTTAGAGTCCTAACGATTTCTCTTCTTGTTGATAGGTGATTTCAGGTGATTCATAATTTGGGAATTATTTCTTAGTCGACTTCTGAGTATCCATCCATCCATCTTTTCTTCTTTCATATATCAAATCTTACACTATTTTAGACAATGGAAGTTTGGACCTCCAACATTCATCAAAAAATATTCATATTGATGATATTGGTAAACCTGAGGCCTACTCGAATTCACTTCAAGTGAGTTACTTACTCTACATTAAGGAAGAATCCACCGAAAAGTAAAGATGGAATGATCAATGGCGGTCCCAGAGAAAGTGCCATTGAATTGGAATTCGATACACATGAAATCATATATCCTGAAACAGATGGTGACAATATAACTCTTTTTCAATCTATGTGAAAGATACTAACCAAAACTAGTAGCTACATTAGCAACCAAAATAACAATACCACAAGCAACGAAAAATCGAGGTATTTCTGAGTTGAGACCAATCATAAAATAACAAACTGATGTAAATAATGTTGGTAGTACTATAAAAAATGGTGCTTCAGCTATTATTTTACTCAGAAAATAAACGTCTGTGCGATACATTCCATTTCGATGTTCTCTGAGGAAGAGTGGAATCTCCGAACAAAAAACCTGTGAAAAACAAATAATTATTGTTTTTTTATCACATAAAGAGCATTTACGAATGAGGGGATCAATTAAATTGAGGACACAATATCTATTTTCTTCCAAAATCAGTATTGATTATGTTTTCATATTGTGACTTACATTTTCCTATTATTTTAATTATTCAATATGATACACCTAAAGGTGACAATATGAAAAAGTAAAAAAATATTGGAATAAATCCGTTACGTCTATGATTTACGGGTATGGTTTTTCAATAAACAAGATTTTTTTAAATTACTTTGGGGTATTTTTGCTACAGGATCATGTCAATGTTCAAAAAAATGATAAAAAAAGAGAACTCGAACGATATTCAAAAACATATTGAATAAAATTTTTCCCAAAAAGATGTGTAGATTACGCACAGAAGTTTCTTCTTCTACAAACTGAAAGGAAAAAACCTCAAGAAACAACTACTTTCACATGAACATTGAATTTCACGAAAGAAAACGTTATTTCGAAACAACTACTCTGATATGAACATTGAATTATACAAAAATCAGTTTTTCCTAATGTGTTTGTACTCTAAACAGTCGTTATTGAATTGGAACATATTGTAACGAATCTAATGCCGCCCCTGACCAATATGTCGGTCGACTCAGCGAACAAACACATGACATCATCGCGAAAGAACCGAACCGACTACATATTTCTAGAAATGACCGTTACCGATATAAGCACGGCTTCCTGACCCAAGAGGCGATCTGAAATTTGGGACGCCGCGAGATGGCGCGCCGCCAGAACAAGACATTGCGGGGAAAGATTATGTCAGCAAGCTTCGGCAGAGAATGGACGATATCCATGAACGAGTCTGGCTGCATAACTCTAAGCGACGCCGTGGTTTATCACCGAAGTTGCGGAACTCGTGAGAAGGTCCGTAAAATCCATAAGCCACCTAAAGGAAAACCTAGATTGGCTCCTTATGCTGGAGATCACGACCAAGTTCGCGCCCTCAGACCACTAGAGGACGAAATGACGTTCCAGAACTCAAGAAAAGCCACGAGACCTTTTCAAGGTTCCAGTTGATTACGCACCAGCTCACTGCGTGTCAGAGGATCTACAAATGTCCTGAGGTATCGCTGTGGTATTCAACAAGAAATTCGGTCAGCTCCAAATATTGCGAGAACAGTATCCAGAAGTCGAAGGAGTGCTACAGTTGAAGAAGGGCCAGATAAATATTTTCTACTCGGTGACCAAAAAGCATTCTCGAGACGAATCGTCCTATAAAGATTCCCGGAGGAGTCTTACCAGACTGAGGGACACGATGCTCGACCAGAATCTTGTGGACTTCACAATCCCGAAATCAGCCCCTGGGCTCGACAGGCTGGATTGGAGAATTGTGAGAAGCATGTTGGAAACGATATTTAAATCCAGCGTCATCAAGATTTTATTGTGCGGTAACCATCTTACACGACCGAGCATGAAGACTGTGTAGTGTTACTTCCATCGAACTTCACAGTGCAGATATGGAGAGTCATGCAGGTATCGACACATGCCAAAGATGACATTTCGGAGCGAAACGTCTTCGAAAAGGGGGCAATGTAACGAATCTGAAGCCGCTCTTGACCGATATACTGACCGACTCAGCGAACAAACACATGACATCAGCGCGAAAGAATGCTGTCGGGAATCGCCGGTAAAACTGTAGAACCGAACCGACAACAGATTTCTAGAAAGGATCATTATCGATATGTGCACGGTTTCGCCACCCAAGAGGGCAGTTCAGAAAGTGAATCGAGCGGCTAAACTAGAAATTCAAATAGTGGAAATGAATTAGGCGTTAGTTTGTGATTAGTGAAATATTGTTGGAGATAAATTTGTTTAAGACAGTTAATTCATTAAATTGTTACAATAAATTCCTGTATCTTTGTTCATATTCTAGAAAGTATTTGTTGTTGATGAACTTTTTCCATTTTTATCTAAAATGGATTTATGTGCATTATCTTCACATTTTACTAACACATTTCATTGATTAATTCAATTCCTTCTTCCTTAACTGGGAAGATTCCCAATTTTTTATATTGATAAAAACATAAAAAACACATATTTTTCCAAAATACTAGTTTTTCCTGAAAAATGTTCACTTTTCAATAATCTAAATTTTCATTCAAAAAATTTGACTAGTTCGGAATCCAAAATATTTCTTTTTTATATACGATTCAGCAAATGCCTTCCGGAAAAATTTATTTTCCTGAGGTATACTAGAAAATAATAAAATTCTGTTATCCCATGAAGATCTCTTCCTACACACTATTTTTTTTACCCAAATGAATATGATTTGTTCAGTTGAAATAAAATTTACAAAAAACATGTAATAATAAAGTCAATAGTGAATTTATTACTGTCAGGGATCAAGAATCAGATGCGTTTGCAAATGAAATTACCAGACTGATTAGGGAAGGGAAACTCTTGTTGAAATACGAATGCCAGTTAACTCAATAGTTATATATTTCTTGAATTTAATTGATTGTTGTAGATGTACGTAAATTCTTTACAACTCTGTAGGAAAAAAAACACAATTTTTTTTCGACGTCGATTACTCACGTGGATAACAGCAAAAACATTCTGAAAAGTCATATTCGTCAGAAATATGAATAACACTCCATTGATGTTCATGACGCCGTCTTGATTCATCTCCTGACCATAGTAAATGGCACCTATTATGAGTGCGATCATCTACAAAAGAAATGTTTGAAATTGTTCTGATTCTCAATTCAAAAACTCAACCGTTGTTTGTAATATTCGAACTTTCATCAATAACGGGTCTTTCATAGTACTCAGCCACGATCGCCACAACACGGCCCTGAACTGTGTCCACCATGATGCTTTGTACGGGTTGATAGTATCACCACTCAGCCATATTTCGAAATCGTTCCTTTCCGTATCACTTGCCTGGAAATAAAAATTTATAGGTAGATGGATAGACTTCATTGAAGCTCACAAATTAAGGTCAAGAATACATTTACTAAAAGAACTGGTGGCTCGTGTTAGTGCTTATTATTTCGAAGCATAAATATCAGTTACTTCGTGTGATAGTTACCACTGTAGCGCATTCAACTGTCATTTTAACACCAGGTTCAGATCTTTGAAATTTACTGCAAATCATTGAGACTGCTTGCCTGCAAGATTCTTCTCTGCCGGGCACGATGGCCAGTAACTGTATGAAGTAGTCTGCCGGATTATAGTTTCTTGGACATGGAGCTTCCAGCCTGAAAATTTCAACATTTCAAGAATATTTCTTTTATGACCGTAATAATAATAATATTTATTTTCAAAAATAGAAAAATACAGAAAGAAAAAAGGCTATCCAACTTTGAAAATAGACATGAAACATCACTGAAGCTTTAAAGCTTGTGCGTGATATAGATGATAATATTTATATAGTATAGGATACAACAGTATTACATTAACATTAATATTAGTACAACAATTATATATTTAAATATTTAGACAGGTACCATTGAACTAATTTCATGATTTATTTGTTTTTTTTATTATTATTGTCAAAGTAGGGTTTTAGTGTCTTATTTTGGTAGGTAGGTTGTCATAGTCAGGTATATGTCGTATTTGGGTGATTTGGAATGTAACTGTTTATTATAGAAACTTAGGTTTATAAGGCTATTGAATATGTTTCTATCTGTAGTTTTCATCCATTGTTTTACATGGTATTTAAAAGAGGTATAACATTTGATAGATTTGAGGTTTTGTGGCAGTAAATTGTATATTCTTGGTGGAAGATATTCTGCTGAGTGTTGACCGACTGTTTTTTCGCAGGTTGGAACTTTCATGTTTTTATTTTTTATTTTTTATTCGAGTTTCATAACGGTTGTCGATGGGTGTTATCTCGGTTTCATTTTTACGGATATACATTAGAACTCGTTGACAAAATATTTGTCTTAAATTAGCTGCAAAAATACCTTGTGAGAAAATCGAAAAAGGGGAAGTAAGACTTCCAAATTCTATGTATATGTCCAACACCAACCCGAATGAAGTTATAGAAATCATGAAAGATAAAAAATCACCTGGTCTAGACGATATCTCGAATGAAATACTAAAAGCATCATCTGAGTTTATTTCTAAACCACTTGCACATATATTCAATATGGCTATAGAAGCAAGGCGGGTTTCCAAAACATCTGAAAGAGGCCAAGATTATTCCAGTCTACAAAACAGAGAAGAAAACAAATGTTTCAAATTATCGGCCCTTGTCAATCTTATCCTCAATTTCGAAAATATTTGAGAAGATAATTAAAAAACGATTGATTTCAAATCTAAATAGAAAAAAACACTTTGTCAAAATATCAGTACGGATTTCAAGAACATCGATCAACCGAGGACGCTATAGCAGATGTAACATCCACAATATATAAGGCTATAGATGAAAAAAAAGTTTGCCTAGGTGTACTATTTGATTTGGCAAAGGCATTTGACACCGTGAGCCATGCACTTTTGCTCAGCAAGCTGGAAAATCAGGGTGTAAGGGGTAATGTTAACAAACTTTTCCCGTAGTTTCCTTGAAGATCGTACTCAAAGAGTCCAGATAAATGGCGAACTCAGTGAAAAAAAGAAATTTATCTTGTGGTGTGCCTCACGGAACCGTCTTAGGTCCTATCTCATTCCTTGTATATCTGAAATCATTATTTTCTCAACAATCTTGTGGGGATATAATTTCATTTGCTGATGACCCTGTTATAGCATATACCGCAAATGGATGGGAAGATGTTAGAAATATTGCTGAACGTGATCTGGAATCATTAACTAAGTGGTTTAGAGCAAATTTAACGAATATGCCCTCCATTAAATTTTCAAAGTGATCCGTTGTCTGGTTCACCAGAAATGTCTAATGTGCCATCCACCGTGAATCAGCCTGTATATGAACAAAGTCCGTCTTATGCATCGAAATTGTATGTCATTGCTGTGCATGTGTTTTTTGAAAATGGAAATAAGAAAGTTTTTTACATAGAAATGTGACGTCCTGAAAAGAAAAGTTGACGTGTTTCACGATTTTTCACCGTCACAATATCAAATGACTCATTTAGGGTAGTGGTATCAATTGAAATGCACTGTACCTATATAACAAAACCAGAACAATAATTACTCATTCATGACTGGCAAGCATAGTAGCAACAAGCAAATCATATCGTTGAACTTTGGTTATTCTTAGGTATAAAACAACAATCAATTTACATTAAACCACCAGAGGTATTTCAAAGATAACAAATGTATTGCGATAACTTGCATACGTGACATTGAAATGATGCATTTCGATAATGTTCGAAAAAAATTGGGGGTTGTACCTGTCATTTGACGGGGGTTGAAGGTAGGGGTAGCATTTTTTCGTTGAAGTATGTCAAATCATAATTTAAATTTGACGTGTTTCGAGATTTTGTTAAAATATGTACCTACCGTAACCGAAATAATGAATCTATTCCATTTGGTTTCATACACTGGCATACATTTATACTGCTCAACTATAATCCACAACTCAACATTTCCTCAACACAACTTAATGTTCTAGAGTCTAGTACAAAATAAACCGTCACAGTCAAAATATTTAGAAGTACTGAATTTGGGTAAATGGAAAAGAAATCATTTTACAGTTCCACTTTCAAGAGAACCTACCAAAACATAAATTAATTGGAAGCACATCTGAAGAAGCTAGTCACGTAAACTATGAAACGTCAGGAAGAAATTCCATAATATGACGAATCTAAAACCAGACAGAAGATAGTGTTATAGTATAATATGACCGCTACATTATCAACAATCATTTCAAAAAATGAATATAGATGTTACATCTGCTTCACAATGTTTTTCTCGATATTAACTCATTTCATAACGTAGAAAACGTTTCGACCTGCCATAGGTATCATCAATTGTGTCAGGCTGAACCACGCATAAATGTTTGAAATATGTTTTTCCGTTAACCAGCTGTCGCATCGCTACAAACGACAACACTGAGAAGTCGAATCTTGTGCGAGCTAAGGACTAACGAGGTCTCACCTTTTAACGTGAGATTCCTACTATTGATGGACTCAACTATCTTAAAAAAACAAGCCCAACTTAGAAAAGATAACTTCCCCTTTCACAAAGACGTCATCTGTGGGGTTGACAGAATACTCAATCCACGGATATCAATAATTGCTCCAATGACTCCAAGAATCATTTTCTACAATTTTTACAGGTTTTTGAGGAAAATTTAATTGGTTGCATCCAAAGCAATGATTCCATGAATGACGTGGCTCTCGATCAGCGGATAACATATAATATTTTCATTCAACCTACGGCGAGTAGTCCATCCTATACAAAAAAATTCACTACGTCATTCATTTGAACTACCAATTCAAGTTGCAATCGAGGTGAATTCATACGTATCTGAGACTATCTGCCCTTTCAATACCAGCAACTATCTTTATGGTGTCAAATTGAGGAAAAGTTTTGGAGTAGGAAGAAAATGTATATTTTGCCTGTTCACTGTTAGTAGCTGACATTAGGGATAGTTCCAAAGCCCAGTTCTACTGCGATTTTTTTATTTTTCCGAGCGAATCTACATTCAATTTGAATGTGCCGTTCAAGTAAATATACACCAAGGAGTATAGGTCCAAGAATAGTGCATTATGGAACACCAAATTAAATTATTCCTGTGGGACTTATACACTCTTTGGTTACGTTGGTAACTCTTGAATAACTGAGAAACAGGTATGGAATAGAACTGACCGATACTTGATGAAAATCCATATTAGAACTAATTAATACAGTTTATTGTATGATTTTCACTATAAATGGTTTTACAAAAACCGCGACACGTGGTTCCCTATACAATAGTTTCCTCAATCGTAAACTAAAAGTTAATTCTAAATTACAACTATTTTATACTCTAACATATTACCTACTCCTATGCTCATTTTCTAATGTATGAATCTACCTGAAAAGGTCAGATATGAATTGATTAACTACAAGAATAAATTTTTCGAAAGTACAGTAAAAACACTTAACTATTTTTACCTGGAAATGAACAGATTCAATTGGGCGAATTATTTAATTTAGTTTGATCGTTCATGAGATATTGAGAGTTTTTGATTTTTTTATCTCCATACTCTCCAACAGGTAAAGTTTCAAACCTTTCTTCTAGAAATTTAGGGGTTTGCGATGATGGTTGAACTCATGTCCCTCTGTGAATAAATGAGTGGCATATGTGAAATTCATATTTCCCTATTGAAAGTTGCTACTTTGTGCTGATACGAGTGGGTGGACGACTTATGAATGATAATATCTGTATGTGCCGGTTTGTTTTGTATCAATATGAAATTTCATCAATTCTCTCCACCCTTCTATCACATTCACAATGGAGATGGAAAAGGGCGACTCTATGCATTTTTTGGACTTGACAATAACGAAAGTTAACAACAAACATGATTTTTCAATTTATCGTAAACCGGCACATACAGATATTATCATTCATAATTCGTCCACCCACACATATCAGCACAAGGTAGCAGCTTTCAACAGTATGATAAATGTGCCTTGTCAGAGGCGAATTTCAATAAAGAACTAAATATAATAAAGCAAATAGCCGAATACATTCTTCATTATCAAAGAAGTTATACAGTCAAGCTTTGAAAGAAGTTTACCCAATTCGAAGAAAAGAGGGTAATAGTTTCAGAACCTTAACTTACTTAGGCCAACCCACTACAAATATTTCAGATTTTCTGCACAGCAGAAGTGTCAATATTGCTTTCAAAACCAACAACAACTTAGGCACGCACATTGAGAATAACAAAGATAAAAGTTCAGTTTCAGAAAAATCAGAGAAGTGTATGAATTATCATGTGGGTTATGTCCGATGTTTTTATATAGGTCAAACTGGAAGAACGTTGAAATCCCACATAAAGGAACACAAATATAGTTTCCAGAATGGAAAAATAAATTCCACATATGCCACTCATTTGATCACAGAGGGACATGAGTTCAAACATGAATACAAGCCCCTCCATTTCCAGAAGAAAGGTTTGAAACTTAACCTGTTGAAGAGTATGGAAATAAACAAATTCAAAAACTCTCAACATCTCATGAACCATCAAACTAAATTGAATAATTCGCCATTATTGAATCTGTCATTTTCAGGTAAAAATAGTTAAGTACATTCACGGTACTTCAAAGTACTATTCATATGGTTAATGAATTCATATCTGACCTTTTCAGGTAGATTCATCCATTAGAAAGTAGGCATACGAGTAGGTAATATGTTAGAGTATAAAATGGTTGTAATTTAGAAGTAACTTTTAGTTTACTCTTGAGGAAGCTATTGTGTAACGAAACACGTGTCGCGGTTTTGTGAAACCCTTTATAGTGAAAATCATACAATAAAATGTATCAATTTGTTTTGAAAATCAGTACCTCTGAAACCAATATTTTCCAGATTATTCAAAAGCAATATACAGACAGTATAGAATGCCTTTTCAAGATCAACCAGAATGCATTAAGCAGGTTGTTTATTGTCTACAGTTCGACTCATTTGAGTTTTTGAGAGGTTAATAGCTTCAGTCGATCTGACATGAAGCCAAGCTTCGACCGCCAAATGATATTCCTTCTCTGGTTCTCTCTGCAACTTTCACAAGACAATTAGTCCAAGCTCTGGCTTGTCTGGAGAACAGTCAATTCTAGCAATAAATTCGTGGTTCACTTTAGTACCACTGATGAGACACACAGGGAGTGGAAAAGACGCTGTCTGAAATTGGATAACGAATGTTTTGTTTTGGGTTCAGGTCTGATATTTATACTAATTTTTTATATATTCCAAATTATATTTCGAGTCAAAATGATTATTTGTACTTTGATTTATATTGTATTGATGAATGAATTGATTGTTAATACCAATGGGCGTAGTGATATCTATTATTTATTAATTTCGTATAAATTGATTGCAATTGCATTGGTTATGTTTTACGTAGTATATCACTTTGAAAGCTTAAGGTCGCATTATTGTTATTGTTGTTATTATGACTGTGACACACTTTCCAATGACAATCACACCAACTGAGGTAGCGTCAGTTGAATAGTTTTGTTGCGTTTTTTCAGTTGCGGAAAATAAATTTTCAAATATATGAAGAAAAAATCACGAAAGATTATTACTTCTTGACGAACACTTACTTTCTTCAAATTTTTATCATCACTAGCATCCGAAGAGTTCATAGCACACATTACAAATTGAGTTCCATTGCTTCCAGTCCCCAGTTTCAAAGCACAGGAATGCACTTTATTCCCGTGACACTCAAGTTCTCCATGCTGACAAGTGAAAGTATAGTTTCCATCTTCTTTCGTGAACTGAAAAATATTTCAAACATTCATAAAACTTTTCTGAGTATCTCAACTATCCACAATCTGAATAAATATAATGTGTATAATGTATAACAGTAGGTATACCTTAACTTGGGTAACATAATCTAAATTTTACGTTGATACATAGGCTCTATGTTTCAAAAAGTTCATTATCTTATTCGCCAACAAATTTCGACATATCACTTATTAATCTCAAAGTTCAGAATTATGGTTTTGGAAACAAATGTCAGTTAGGTTTGTGACTGAGGTAAAACATTTTCGATTATGCCATGAGGTATTCAATATCAAACTTATTCATCGATTAAATCGCACGCTCTGCAATAAATCACACTTAATTATTCATTCCACAAAATGAGTAATACAATATATAAACTATAAATAGTGAAGCTAATTCATCATATTTCCAAAAAGACACTCATTCTACTGAAAATTAAATTTTTATCCAAGGGTTCATTCTGTAAGTGGCTTCATTTATAAGGCTATTACATTTTGATCTCATAAACACTAAGAAAAAAAGTGGGTTGAATTGTAGCCAAGTTGCCTATTTTTGGAGACTGCTGAATGATACCAAAAAATCAACTGCAGCCTTTTTGGTTCCGAAGATATACAGGAACACAAATTCCGAAATTGAATGCAAGGAAAATAAAAGAACATACAGTGGTATGTTTGCAAAACGAACCTTCTACGATAAAGATTTTATTTTGTATAAGTTAAAGAATTTCTGCTTTTCATTACGAAAATGCTGAATATCATCATGATGATTTTTGGGAAAGAAAGATTTTGGCTTTTCACTTCTCCATCTTGATACCACTTTCAAAAAATATCTACAAAGATGGTAGATCATGCAAAGAAGTAACTTTCAGAAACAAACTGAAAGAAGAAGCCCTTTCGAAACAGCTACTTCTATATAAACATTGAATTACATGAAAGACAAATACTTTCAAAACAAATACTTTTATATGAACACTGAGTTATATGAATAACACATTTCTCTATTCAGTTTGTATTTCAAACATTCGTTATGGAATTGAATCAGATATCTTTCACAGGATTCCTACACAATATACTGAATGAAAGAGGTGAAATTTTACGTGAAACACTGTTATCCCCACTGATAGACATCCGATGTTTCGCCGTAAGACACCTGCCTCATCAGCTCTTCAGTATCAAATCTGGTACCAAATGAATTGAAGAGCTGATAAGGTAAGTGTCTCATGGCAAAACATCGAATGTCTACCAGTGAGGATGACAGTATTCCATGTTAGTGAAATTTTACCTCTTCCATTCAGTATATTGTGTGGGAATTCTGTAAATAATATCTGACTCAATTCCATAACGGATGTTTCGGACTCTATATAAAAGTATTTGTTTCGTGTAATGAAAGTATTTGTCTTTAGTGTAACTCAATGTTTATATGAAAGCAGCTGTTTTGAGGGAGCTTATTTTTCCAGTTTGTGTCTGACAGTTATTTCTTACCATGATCTTCACATCTTTGTATAGAGTTACTTTATTTTCAATCGATTGCTTCATTCCTTTCTCATAAAGATTACCACATTTTTTGTATCAGGATGGAGAAGTAAAAAGCCAAAACCTTTCTTTCGCAAAAATTTCCCTCTCTCAAATATATACCCCTTTCAATTCAATTATAATGATGTTTCCACAATAATTTTCTTCTGGGGTTACAAGTCACAATTTCCGGCTTTGTACAGACGTAAAATAATTTGAATCATATTTAAACCTCTGATAGAACGTATTTGAAATGATGGACATTTTGGATATGGTGAACTGCGTCATAATATCATATAAAAATATGCATATTACTACATCCATATCATTAACTTGCGTCACCAACCCTTACTCACATATTACTTCATATACAACCTTGCAATAAATAGTTACAATAAATTTGAAACTTCTCATTCTCTACAACGAATTCCATATGCTCCGGAACATAAGGCAATACCGGTGTCACATCAATACCGTGATTGTGCCATAGATGGTAAAAAAAGCACTCTTGGTGCCGCGTTTTGCCGATGGATATAGGCTGAGATCGCATAACCTGGACAGACTAACACGCCTCGCGGCAGGCCCTGCACCCTGCACCTGGTATCAGGAATTTCTATACCAATCACGCGACGGTGATAGACTTAGGTGTTTAGAACATCATCTCAGCAGACTATGATGAACCCTTCAGTTTCCGACTTTAGTCCTCTCGACCTGAGGAAAGAAAAGGTCAAGTGCTTTGATAAGCGGAGATCTTTGACGTTGTTGAAGACGAGCCTTTGATTTTGGAATTGCACATCTTGCATCAATCTCTCGCTATTGTTTTCAATATATTCGTTCTTATTTAATCGCCAATAAGAAGCCACTAACTAATTGAATTTTTTCTCAAGATGATTAAGTATATTAAACAGTGGTTCATCGAGGTGAACTTATGATATTGCTCTCTGCTAAATTCGTAACAGATTTTCCACCGAGTGATTCATTTATATTTTATAGATTGTGAAACGTCGAAATACCAATATCAAATAATTTAAGAAATATTCCATGTAGGTATACTAAATAATTAATTCGAAAAAAATACATTTTCAAAATTTAATACAGTTGACCAGTGTCTATTTCACGAGGATGTGAATCAAATTTTCAAACTATTTTTTAAAACTTACATTTGCTTTTCCGAAAGGTATCAAGTCCACCTCCACCTTTCCTTCAAATGAATCGTGGGTTATTCCGAGCTGCTCTTTGAAAAATTTCACACTATCAGAACAGAGACTTTCATAGTAGACTGATATCGTCACAGTGCTTGCCTGAAATAATAATATTCATTGAATTCTCTCATTCTGAAATTAGAAAAAAGTATTAAATTGTATATTAATAGCTTTTACACGTGGCTTCGCTCGCATTTATGCCAGTAAGTGTCAGTACAAAAGAAATGAATTAATATGAGAACTATATTTTAATGCTTGGCTGAAGTTATCAATTTTTAAAATTTATTACATATGATGAAGTTTCGAAAATTTAAAATATGATTTATTGAATTGCAACAACAAATGTTAAAATTTATTTCACTGTAACAAAAAAAAATAATTTCCAATTTTTTTATCTTACATAATTTTTTTTAATAAAAAGTATCATATGGTACTTCTAGTATCTCCAAAAACATGTGTACAAGATTTCGTGATGATCGGTTGAGTAGTTTTCGTGTGAAACCGTAACAAACAAACTTACTTACTCAAGTAGGATAAAGTAGGATAAGATAATTAGTCTAATCAACAAGTTCAAAAACATGAAAAATAGAGATAAAGGTCCCAAAAATATGAGCGATAACTCATTCGATTCGGAATCACCTCTAGAAAAATGTTTTTAAGTATTTTGGGGCAGGTAAAAAATTGCAATTCTTATTAACAAAATAAGATTTATAATAACAATTACAATTTTTCACCTGCACCAAAATCCTTCAAAAACATTTTTCTAGAGGTGATTTCGAATCGAATGAGCTATCGCTCATATTTTTAAGACCTTCATCTCTATTTTTCATGTTTTTGAACTTGTTGATTAGACTAAATAGGAAAACTGGAGAATCCTCAAATATAAACCCATTTTTGAAAAGACTTGAATCCATGCTGAAGATTTAATTGTCGTGAGAAATGTTCATAGATATAACATAAGAAGCGAATAAATTTCTTCATTACTGCGTACTTACAAGGTCATGAGTGGTATTTTAGAAAAAAATCTACAGAAAAATTCTTACGGCGCTCTAAGAACGGTGCCTGTGCGAAAGATACGATTTCACGTTTTCCAAATTGCACGGAAATTAGATCCTTTATTCAAATGACACCCCTATACAAGAAATACCAAATAACAAAGCGAAGTTTATAAATAAGATAAATCAAAACAAAATGTTGGAACTACTACGTCAACAGGCATGGACTGAAATCTATGAAGAGAAAGAACCAGAAACGAGTATGAATAAATTCATTTCCACATTTAAAGAAATAATATCTCAATCAACCACATGCATAAAAGTGCAATGGTCGAAGAAAAAAAAGCCTTGGATTACAAGGGGTTCAATCACATCTATAAAAAAGCGTGATAAATTATTTATCAAACACGTTAAAAATCCACGTAATGAAGACTACAAAAAAGAATATATTGATTATAGAAATAAGATAAATAGTC